GGTCGCAAGCTAATATTAACGCTATAATAACATTAGTAACTCCTTGGAGCGGATCCGTTAAGTCCCTTAAAGCTTTTTTGTCAGGCGACAACTTTGACATAAATTACATAGATATTAAAATGATGAAAGAAATTCAGAAAACTCTAACATCGTTAGTCCACTTATTCCATCGCCAATAGTATTTGATAGAAACAAGATTTTTTAATTGCAGTTGAAACAAAAGTATGGGAAAATGTAGCAGCAAAGAAAGATAGCTATACAGCATGAAAAAGGGATAAAATTTAGAAAAGTGTCTGCAAGAAAATCTTATGCTGCAGGGTCGAAACAAACATCTTAGATTATTTTGACGAAATGGTAAAGTTAACTCCTAACAACACCAAATATTGTTTATATGAAAGCGACATAAATACAACTAAAGTTTTGATAATGACCACCCAAGATTTAAGTTGATACGCGAAGATGGTGTGGTAACGGATAAGTCACTTAGATATTGTGTTGGAAAATCCAACGTATAAGATAAACAATATTATAAGCCATTAACAGATTGCAAAAGACCAAGAGGTTCAAGAATGCATTGTGCGAAAAAGTGGTGGATTGCCCCTTGATTCAAATATAAAAAAACATGAAGCGGTTGATATTGAGTGAAATTACGTCTTCAGCGTCTAGTCACAGTATTGTAACGCTCAAGTTAGTTTGTTTCATTGTAGTTTTCTAAACAGACTTGCTTAAATATTCTGGTTCTTTGCTGAACTGTTGTTTATTCTGATCATAATTGTTCATACCAAAAATTGAACGCGATAAACTATAATTTTGATTCGAGATAACTGATTTCAAATAAATTCTCTGATCAAATACCTGAAGTTTCTGAGTCTGGTAATAAATTGACGATCTTTAATAGATCAAAGACTCACATTGTCTCAAAAAAATTTTGTTCATCGATACCATATTTTGAGAAAATGTTTTGCTGTGACTAGTTGGAAAGAAAAGAAAACACAGTTAAATTGGATCATGATGAAAAAAGTGGTGGATTGCCACCTTGATTCAAATAAAAAAAACATGCAGACGCTGATATTGAGTAAAATCGTCTTTGTCGACCCAATTCTAAAATTTCTTGTAAAGTTTAGACCAGGTTGTTTCAGTATTTGAAATTCAATGTAAAGACACATCTTGAGAAGAGAGCTGAACTTGTTGCAAAGAGAAGAAAATTAGAATGGTGGCAACGAAAAAGCCCGTTGTCTTTGATTTGTTCATTTGTTTCCTTCATCAAAAGTTTGGGACAATTACTGGGAAAATATTTTCTTATAATTTATCTATTAGCAACGAAAGCTATACAGCATGGAAAATGGATAAAATATTAAAAAGAGTCTGCAAGAAAATCTTATGTTGCAGGGTCCAAACAAACATCACGGATTATTTTGACGAAATGGTAAAGTTAACTCCTAACAACACCAAATATTGTTTATATGAAAGCGACATAAATACAACTAAAGTTTTACATTACGAAAATGTAATTGATGATGACAACTTAAGATTGGAGTTCGTACGCGTAGATAGTACGGTAACAGATAATTCACTTAGATATTGTGTTTATAAATCCAACGTAGAAGATAAATAATATTATAAACGTGGATATCTAACATATTACAAAAGACCGCGCTAACGAAAGATATTTTGTGCCCTCTTTACCGTCTATAATCCTTGCAGATATTTGCCTAAATTTATACAATAAATAAAGTGCTGCGATCTATAAGCGTAATGATAAACAACCGTAAAAACATCCATTATATTGAGTTAGAACATAAAACTAGGTTCTAACCATCATACTGATTTAGAGCTGTCTAATTTCAGCGTCGTTCGTTTCGAAACATAAGAGTCTGTGATCTATTACTGTTTTATTGGTGTGATGATAAAATACTATTACTGGTTGATGTTTAATATACCAAGGGTGAACTCTTGAGTTAGTCCTTATTCCTCTTACTTCTATATTATAACTGATTAAGTGAATCGAGTATCATTAAAATACCGTGATGGAAAATAAGACGTAATGCAATTATAACATCAGAAGCACGTAACTGGCGCAACTGATTGCTAACGAACTCGAGTAAAACCTGTAAAAAAGTATAATAGATTCAAAAATAATGAGAGGAAGACAAAACTATCCTCATCGCGGGCTGTTATAAAAATCGCTGCCAGCATTCGAATGTGTCAGTGGAAAAAATAAATAAATTATGCAGAAAATTAATTTACAGCTTATGTTTTTCCGCTTGCAGTTACCAATTATTGAACGCATATTGCGTGAAAGTGTGAGAGATCCAAAAATAATGGAAGGACGACGGAACATAACTGATTATTTTGATAAACTTATTGAAACCACCGATGGTATAAAAAATACTGTTTATACAGTGTTGGTCGAACTCACACAGTCGAAAAGTTGGTGTATCGAGACAGAGTGCATTCATCTACGCTGGACCCTGTTTTTGGTAATGGCGATGACTCGGTGAATGAAATATCCTTAAAATACTGTGATGGTTTGACTCATGAGAAGGTTGATTTTCTGACAACAGTCAATCATAATGAATGCATCTAATTTCGGTTTATGCTTTTAACCATTTCAAAAATTGTATGTTGGTTAGGGTGATGGAATCTGATGGCAATATTGTGATTCTTGATTTCCTTGCATGGGTGCATCAATATGGCTGCCTTTTTGATTAGAAAAGGAAAAGGTTGGTCGCAAGCTAATATTAACGCTATAATAACATTAGTAACTCCTTGGAGCGGATCCGTTAAGTCCCTTAAAGCTTTTTTGTCAGGCGACAACTTTGACATAAATTACATAGATATTAAAATGATGAAAGAAATTCAGAAAACTCTAACATCGTTAGTCCACTTATTCCATCGCCAATAGTATTTGATAGAAACAAGATTTTTTAATTGCAGTTGAAACAAAAGTATGGGAAAATGTAGCAGCAAAGAAAGATAGCTAGCATCATAATGAATGCATCTAATTTCGGTTACATGCTTGCAGACCACGCATTGTGAATTCTGTATGGGTGATTTTGGCCAAAGTATAAGTACATATTGTTACGATCAGATTCATGAGCTTCTTACCTCTCGTCAGCATTACTTAAATATTATATTCTCAGACAATTCATGACGATTTCTGGTGTATATAATATAGGAGACAAGTACGCAATGCTAGAAAACAAGCTCATGGATTCCTTAATTATTTTCCCCAAATTTTTGCTGGATGAAGAATTATTGCATACAACACCAAAAAAAATTTTAAAGAGATATCATAAACAAAAACCAAGAGATTAAACCTGAAATTTTATTCAATAAATGCATAGAAAACTCATCGATGCACATCATCTATTGATTATTCGCTTTCAATTATCACTCAAAATTGTCTCCGAAATTTTCTAAATCTTACATAGTCTTTAAGTGGCCAATTCCAATCTCTAACACGTAGTGGCTTATCATGCATAACTAATTTGAAACTAATGTAATTTTAGTTTGAAGTTTGACTAATTTTGTGTGATTAATTTTCATTTCATTATTCAGAAGTTGGCTGCAGCTTAAGTACTGGAAATAACATGCAATACTAAGCTTATGTACTGCATGAAATAAAGGGTAACATGAATTTTTGTTGAATATGGATGTTTAACAAATTAATTTATTCAACGAATCGACAATGTCTAATAAAAGTGTACTATACTATCTTTATTGCGACTCAGTTATTTTCATGATTGTCAAAATGTGTTAATTCGTAGGTAAATTGTGAAAAAATTTCACAAATTTACTTTCATTGTAGCAAATTAGCTAGAAAAAAGTGTCAATCGAGTTTGAATTAAATAGCTGAACGTTTGGAAAAGATTTCGAAGAGTTTAAAAAAGTTTTCAATCAAGATTAAGACAATGTTTTATTTTGTACCATTATGTAACCTAATCACATTTAACTGTAAGATTTTACAGTTAATCAATAAATGAAGACCAACGATTTCCTTGATGGCACATTTTCGCACCTGATTGGCCAGCTTGATAACTTTTGCTTTGTTTACTATTTTGGCTCATTCGAAGAGATTGCCACAAAAATTGCTACAATATAATACAATTTCATTCAGTTTCCCATCTATTGTCTTCTTGTTCAACCTTTATGTAAACCTTTTCAGTTTATCTCTTTTCATTATTCACAATTTTTCTCATTTCATGTCTTCAACCCTTTCACAACAGACATAGACAAAGTAAGCAACAAGAAAACAAACTTTGACTATAAAACAACAAATATTTCCATGTTTTGTTTTCTCATTCTTCATTTTCTTGTTCAGTAGAAAGAGAATGGAAAAGGAGAGCAAAAAAAGTAGAGTTTTTTTTCTCTGTCTCTCTATCATTCATAAATGATTCAAATGTTCAGTAATAATCTTATCTACATTTTTCCTCATTTTCATTTCACTCTGAATACATGATGCAGATGAAAATACTTATATATACATAAACTATTTTTTTATCTTTCATTTTATTCCAACCTTTTTCTCTTTTCCTTTTTTTTATCAACTTTTTCCTGTTTCATTTCTTCCCATTTCATCAACATGCAAACAAGAACAACAATTTATCGTTGAAATCACAATTCAAATGTTTTCCATCATTTCCAGACACAATTATGATAACAATTTTTTCCTTTTCTTTGCCATTCTCATTTCTCATTTGCTCAGAGCCAACTGCAAGATTAAGATTGGCCATGTTTATTCATATCAATATCAATGGATTGACATTCAAGTCTGTTTCCATGAAAAGTTGAAGGCAACACAAAAATAAAAGTGGACTCTTGATAGACAGAATAATTCATTAGAAAAGATCTGAATGATGAGTTTAACCTTCAAAGTGAAATGTTAAATGACAGACAATGAAATGTAATGAAAGGTAAACAGTAAAGGCTTCATGATTAAATTGCATCAACAATTTGAATGAAAGACCTTAACAAATGGAAAGAAAAAAGTTGAAAGATATTAAAAGATAAAATTTTATTTTCCATTTTTTCGACATTTTTATTTCTTTCATTGTGCATATTCAGTTTGCGTTTGGACTTGAGTGTGTTTCTTTTATACATTAAAGTTGATTGAAACAATCGTTTGTTTTAAAACAACTAATTAGTTGACAATGTTGATTTACAACGTTAATTGGCTTTTCTAACAAATAACGAGTTTCTAACGATGATAATGATAATATTTAACAATAATATTACATTTGGGAGACACGAATGGTAATAATGTACATCGAGTGTTTACATTGGTAAAAATGATGGCAATTGATCAGGTAAATGACAATGGGAATGATTGGACAAAAGTTGTTCCAGGTAAGGGTGAATAACGATACAACATTTATGTGGGAGAAAATTTTTTTAATGGAAATTGCATCCAATTTTATTCCAAATAATTGAACCAATTATTTGCTTAGATGCATTTTTGACATTGTTTATCACCAGTGGCTGATTATGATGATGATGGTTAAGGATATGGATAGTTGTATTTACAGGTGTTTTTGACGATTAATAAATTGAATTGCAATTGTTTTTGTTTGCTTTTCTACTCTTGTGAATCAATTTTCACTGGAAACAATTTTCACTCCCTGCAGAGTTGATTATTTCTATTGGCTTGGAGCTGTTGATGAGTTTACTACTCGATGAACAGGTAATGTAAACATTTTGAACCAGTTGGGTGAGTTTGGGTAAGTTTTCATTTGTCTTGTGCTTTACTGGTTGCTGGCTCTGTTTGATGGGCCAAGGTTGAGGCTGTGTTGACTGGTCCTGTTTGTGTGTCTTCAAGGCTTTGACTTCGCGATGGAGGCCCTCTTGATGTTGTCACTTTGATGGGAGATGCTTGCTTAATCAGGGATCGACTTAGGCTATCAGGCAAGCCTGAAAGTGTTCCTGAGGTGTGAGGGTTTGATGAACCAGATGAGACTGTTGATGAGACAAGTGGTGACGGTCCACGTAAAGAGGCTGCTACTGGTCCTATTGCTGACCCAGAGACTAGAGTGCTTGCGGTCACTGGAGGAGGTGAATGTTCAGGGAAAAAGGCAAACATGCTTTGCTGTTTTTTCAACATTTTTTGCTTTGGCCCGGCTGGTTTGTTGCTCAACCTTAGCAGTCGGTTTATGTTACGATCAGTTACACTTGTTACTCCCGATGCAACACTAGATCCAGAGGCACCATCCCAGATGATGCCTGTTGTTGCCAAATGTTCACGTGAACCCAAAGGTGATCCAGTTGTTTGCTGTAGGGCGGAAATTTTGCGAAAATCATCAATACTAACACCACGGTGTAGTTGATCCCAACAGAACGAATCGAACGATTGTTCTCTTTTTAAATTGCCACGTCCAATAAGACGTCGATTCGAGCCTGGAAAATAAAAAATTGAACTTTAATTAATTTTTGTCAAGTGATCAACAACTTTCCAATCAAAGTACACATTTATTCACTGGTAAGAGAGGAAACTAAAAAGAGAGGTGAAAATGAACCACTTTAAGCATAAACTCCCTGCTATTTACTCTAAATATCAACTATAACCACATCAAGATGAATCTTTATCTACCTTTAATCTGACCAACAAATTAAATGAACTAAAGGAATAGCAACTGTTTATTCAATGGTCAGTATAAGTTTCATCTGGTAATCACCATGAAAAAAAGAGGAGAGACAAAAGTAAACAAACGAAAAACTGGAAAAAAAGTTGTTTTCTTGTCGACGTAATTTCATTGGAAAGCAATTTTGTTTCACTTCAATCTATTTTTGTTTCATTGAGAGAAGCAAAATGAGAGGAAAATAAAAAATAAATTTGCTCTTTTTTTCGTTCCATCATCATTATCTTCTTACCTGTTAGGAAACCTTTTAAATGAGATGAAAACTTATCCTCATTACTTGGTGTTCCTGGAGGTGGAAGGTCAAGTGTTTTAGCTGGATTATTATGAAATTTAATGATTGGAAGAAGATTATTGTTCTTCAATTGAACCACAATCTGATTAAGGCTTAAACTTAACCCAATGGAAGATATTGTATGATGAATGTCAACCAATGCAATTCGCTGACCCGTTTCTAATGCATTCCAAGCCATTATTGTATTATCCTCGGAAGCAGATACAGCAACTCGACCATCAATGGAAAGTTGAACTGAAAGAATGGTTGCTGTATGACCCGTCAAAGTAAAGGTTACATTGCCCGTTGTCGTGTCCCAGACAATCAGGTTGCAATCCTGTGAACCCGAGACCACCATTGACTGAACCATAGGAGCCGAGGAGACACAAGAGATTGGCTCTTCATGACCGACCAAGACTTGAGTGAGTTTGCCAGTCGACACTTCCCACACCTTCAAAGACATGTCCTGTGATCCGGTGATAATGGTTGAACAGTCGTACGTGCAAGTGTAACATGTAATGGGTTCGCTGTGAGAGACTGACTTCTCCAAATCAGGTTCGTAAACTGACCAGTAGCGCAAACTATTATTTTCAAATAAACAGAGAAAAAATCAATACTCTGACTGATAACATGATTTGTTGGAAAATTTCCTGACTCATGAGTTACCGGCAATTGGAATGAACGGAAATTGGTAGTGAATTCAAATGAAACATTGAGATCGTTGCAAATGTTCATTGATAAAGTTGCATTATCATGTGCAAATAATGACTCTGTTAAAAGGCAATTCTTGGAATCAATTGAGAGAAACGGAAATTCGGAAAAGGTTGAGAGAACACAAAAAGAAATTTTCAATTCTTTTGTTTCAACAATTCATTTAATATGAAAAGTATGAAGATGAAAGGTTGCAAAAAGAAACTAAATTTCAATCGATTTTTCCAACCAAAATTTCATTCCTAATGAACAAGCTAAATGCTATCAGAATGGAATAAAAATAATAATGATGATGATGAGGGCGATGATAAGAGAAAATCAATTTGTGATGAAAATCTTTTCCATATCAGAGGTAACAACAAATCAATGTAACTGATATGATTATAAGAATCTCATTGGGATAAGATTGAGGTTTCAAGAATAGCTTCAAGGTTGAGAACCAGAATTTGGTTTCTTTGCAACAAGAATAATGCTCTTGTTTAGCTCTTGTTTAGCCTGAAGCATTCACTTTTTTTCTTCTTCTTCACCAACATTTTCTTTCCTTTTCAAGAGGCAAAAGATGACAAAATGTGATTATGATCAACTTTGATGACTACAATGATTTGAGGCGGAGCAAAAATAAATTAATGTAAAAATGCCTCGAATCAAGGAGAAAACTTAGCAATAAAATGTTCTGTTTGTGACCACGAATCATGACTCAGAATCTACTCTGATGTTTAAACTTCGTTGAATTGAAGCTTAAGTTCAAATTTTCGGGCTCATTCAAGTTCCTTCGATTGTTGCCTTTTGACTGACTTTTAAAGTTTGTTTCTAAAATTGAAATCTTTTCTTCACTGGTTAATGTTTCGAGTCGATAACTCATTCTGATCAAAATGAATGTCAGAGCAGCCTGAGGTTTGATGATTATTATCATGAAAAGTTCTGAGTAACTTCCTGATAATGTAGCCAACTTGTGAATATCAACCAACCCAGAAAAGATAGCGTTTCAATATCTCTCGAGTTGTAACCACAATCAGTTGTGAAACAAAACGCTAATTCTGTTTGCATGAATGGAAAGAATTTTGAGAAAAAGAATTTAAATTCCGCAAATCATGATGCAAATCATGTCTTGTTGCTACTTTTGTCATGAGCATATAATCAAGTTGATAACAATTTTCTAAATTCATGTGCACTTTCATTTTTTAATAAACACTTTTATTCAATTATTTCGACTTTTCCAATTTCCATGCATTTTCTTTGCTCCAACAAGCATTTGTAAGCACTTGAAATTGAATATTTTTTCTTCTCATTGATATTGTAATTTTTGTTGAGAATATTTTTGCAAACTTTCCTTTCTCTTGCGACTCTCTTTCAGGTTCAATTGATCAACATTTTATCTCACCTTTACAATAATCATTTTTAATAGCTCAAGGGAAAGTTGCAAGTGACTGTTGCAAACTGGGAGTGCAATTGGGAGTGAAAAATGTTATCAACGATCAAATTTGTTTCGCTTCTCATGATTGAGGATAAAACTTGAAAAAATAGAGGTTTCAGTGTTGCACTTGAACAGATCAAGTCTAACTTTCATTTCCTTTATCATGATTGCTGGCTAACAACTTGTAACTCAATCATTTCTCACAATTTTGTCATTTTTTTTTGTTTCATTGAAAAGATGAAAACAAAATCTGAAAAACAATGGCAACATTCAAGTTAAAGTAAACCTTGTACAACGTAGAAATGATAAGATAACATTTCGCCCAACTTTGTTTCCTCTTGTTGACAGCCTAAAGGCGAGAATCCAATTTAAATTCAAATCTAATTAACGTCAATGGAAAAGAAAATTTTCATCTTTCTTTTTTTTCTCTTTTGTGTCTTCCTGTTTAATGTAAAGTTACTTTTAACAACATGATAAAACTGACAGGGAGTTAAAAGTTATTACTTGTAGTATTATTATTATCATTATTATTGTGTTTGTTATTTTGTAACAAGAAGCAGAGAATAGCTTTATCACTTAGAAAATTTGTTCAATTCAATATAATTAATTGAGGTTTATCTTTGCTTAACCCTTTTCTTGTGTTTTTTTTTGTTTCTCAATTTTCTGTAATGCTTTCTCCTTGCCTTTCTGTCTTTTCTGTCATTTATTATTTCAACCTTAAATTGATTGTTTAAATACAAAGGCAACATTTTGCTTAAAATAGTCTGTTTCCAGCTCTTGTTTCAACCTTCAAAAACAATGATTTCCATGATAATGATAGTAAAAAGGAAATGTTGGCAAACATGGAAATGGTTAGTAGTGTTATCTATTGAACTCGAGACAAAAAAGTTCAAGAAAAGTCCATTTCCATTTGTTTTTAAAGCATCGAAACTGGTGATTAAAACTAGGTCAGACGATCGCATGCCGAAATCGGAGCGTTGGCGAATCATTTCAATTAAAGGTCCGCTTCATGTTTAGACGTGATTAGAAGCCATTCGTGAAAAATGACTATTATTAATAGTTAGTAGCTGTTTGAGATTGGATTTTTTTGCGAAAATTTCGATTGGAAGTTTCGACAAAAAATCTGATAGTTGTGTGTGTTGAAGCTGAACTCGGTAAACAGAAAGTTTATTAAGATTGAATCAATATTTAAGATGAAGGTAAACAAGGCAACACTGAATGAGGAAAGATAATGTGTTGGTAAATGAAGTCTCATTGTACTGTTAAGGCTTCTTAACGAGTGATAAGTTGAATGATAATCTTATCAACCTTTTGTTACAATAATAATGCAAAATAACTCAACGATTTACTTGGAGTCAAGTTAATGACAAAAGCTCATCATCTTCTAGTTTGAGCTAGTTTTAGCTCATTACGTTGTTGATAACTTTTATCAGCTGGCAAAATGTAATTGGATTTTCATTCTCACCTGTTATCATTTTTACCTCCAACAGCAAAAACTGTATTACCAAACATGGTTACCTTGTTTGTCAACTTGGCAACATTAACCAGAGTATTGCCTGAATCAGCTTGCCATAGGCGATGAAAGCCTTGAGAGTCAATGGACAAGATGCGACGAGAGTCGGTGCTAACAAACACGGAATCAATTGCAGCTGAATGGTCAGGATAGACAAACACTTTTAGTCCCAGTGTGAGTGACCAAACACGAACAGTTTTATCCTCTGAACCAGAGACACAGAAAAATCCATTGGGAGAAAAGCTTACACAGGTAATTGGTGCAGAATGGCCGGACAGAGTTGCATGAGTTTCACCCGATGAAAGATTCCAAACTTTGACCAGTGAGTCACGAGATCCTGTAATCAAAGTGAACATCAATAAAAGTTTCATTAGTAAATCAAGTGGAAAACTTTCTCATTAACTTCATCACAACAATCATTAGTTTTTATTGATGAATGGTGAAACTTTGATTTGCTCAATTGAACAAGTTGACTCGATTTACATCTCACAGATATCAGCAGTTATTAAAATTCATGGTGCCAAAGGAAATGAGAATAAAAGTCAAAACTGAAACATCAGCATGATAGAGAATCTCAACAGTTTTACCTTTCATGGGATGAAAATAATGAAAAAAAAGCTCATGAGTATAATGATGATTGTTGCCAAAAAATAGCATTAATGTTAATGTCACAAGCATATTAAACCTTTAAACTGTTTTTAAACCATTCCAGGTCTATTCCAGGCAACCTTTTACGACTCATTTTACACTCAATGAACATGTAACAAAAAGATTGTGTTAATTATTACGTGTTGATTAACTTGATATCATTCTTTTCCTCATTGATTAACATTTTAATTGTACACTATTTACTCCTTTTTATGATCATTTACTCCTCTCATCAACTCGTTACTTTTCATCAAAACTAATCTCTATATTCAAACTTGTTCGTGTAATGAATTTTAATTCTTGTTTGTAACAAATTAGCAGTTCAACTGTTGTCTTTTGGTCGACATAAATGTCCAACTAGAATAAAATGAATCTTGAATCGCTAAGGTTGACTTTAAAGATTATATCATTTGTTGTTACAATAATGATGCAAAATAATCTGATGTATTGAAACAGAAAGCTCTTTCAACTTGCAAAAAGGTCGATAAATTTTGTCAACACTTTGAACTCAAAATTAGATGAACTTTGAATAAAGTCAATCTGAAGTGTAAAGGTAAAGGTGATAAAGAAAGCATTTATTTGTTTCCTCGGCTACTCAACAATTGAAACTCTGTTTAAAAATATGACTAAAAGTTGAATAAAATGAAAATTTATTGCCATCAACTCATGTCGTTAAACTAATCACCTCTGTGAGTAAATAAAGTCGAAGCAAATCGTATCAATTTGTTGTTACAATAACAATGCAAAATGCCCAAATGATTCACTAGATGATGAACGCGAAACATCAAACTTCAACAGTTGACTAACAAGGTTGACTGTAACAAGAAAATCTTAAACTACTGCATCTACTAGGCTATACCTTTTAAGACAATTTTAAAGCTTTTAAAAAACGATTTTGATGAAAATGCCCAAATTTAAAACCCAAATATCTTAGGAACCACTCAACTCAAATCCAAGAGGCTTCTTTAAAGAATCGGGTGTCCACTAGCGATTGACATTGAAAAATCTCGAGCTCAAAAACAGGCAGAATCTGTCACTGTCCTTTAAGGAACCACTAAATCTCCGGTAAACAGACACCAGTACGTTTTATGAAGCTTTGCCCTACCGATTGCGCTATGTCCCATCAAAATCGGTGAGTCTTAAGTAAATATGTTCCCTTATAAGAAAAACAAATCTTTTGATTCAATTGTTAGCTCAATGCTCAAGAGCGAGCAAGAAAAAAGTTTATAAGTGGAGACACTTGGTTATTAGCGCTGTGCTAGATTGTGCGTAACAGGTGATCGTACTTTTCAATATGAAATCTGTCCATCAACATTTTGTTTAATGATTTGAAAGATTAAATTTTTGATTTGATATGAAATGATGCATGAATGAAACAAAGAAACGGAAAAGGGAAAATTATGATCATTTACCTGTAACAGCATAAGTTCCATCTCTTGAGACTGCAAGGCAAGTAATTGGATCTTTGTGTTGGTCAAATTTTTTCACCCTTAATGATGATGATCGAGATGATTTGTTGGACGACTCATGATCCGTGCGATTAGATGTTGTCCGTGAAACTGATGATCTACAAACACTGTTTACTCCCATGTTGGAACCATTTGAAACACTAATAACATTAACCGTGTTGTTGTTGCTGCTGATGCTGGTGACATTGTAATTGCTATTTATACCATTATTGTTGACTGTTGAAGTTGCAGTATTCATAATGTTGTCATTATTACTTGTATTGTTGGTAAAATTGTTGGAATTATTGTTATTATTGTTCATGTTGGTTGCTGTTGTGCTGTTATTGTTGCTCATAACAATGTTACTCACATTATTGACATTATTAGTTGAGCTGTTAATGACAGTGTTGCTCGTCTCATTACTCGAGTTTACCAGTACATTTGAAACATTATTAGCTGATGAGGTTAAATTATTTGTACTTGATGAATAGTTGTTGGGATTGCCGAGAGTTGCATATAGATTGGTGACTGGACCCGAGGAGGCACCCAAAGAAGAGTCAACCTTTTTCCTTGGATAAAAGTTCCAGATAATTACTTTACATGTGCCACAGGTAACTAAATATTTATCACAAGGTTGACTAATGATGGATGTAATCATGTCTTGATGGGAGGTTAACGTTTGTATAAGATGAGCTGAATGGACATCGTAAATGTGAAGTTTACCATCGCCAGTTCCAAGAATAGCTCGACTACTGTCTTCAGCAAACTTGACATAACTTACAATTGAATTACTTTGATGTTCCTAGAAAATAATGTCAATGGAAAAGTCAATTAGTAATTGGCACATTGGCGCATTTGACACAAAAGTTGCATTTACAATTCACTTGAACAACTATAACTTTATCCAGCAATTTGATGACAATTTTCATCAGCTTATCGAGACTTTTTTTCCTTCCTTCAATTTCACTTCACTCACTAAGCTTGGAATAACTTTTTTCTTCATTCGATTCATTCTTTTTTTTATTTGCAAAATTTCATTTCAACTCAAGCTCAAGTATTTTTGAAATGCTGATACATTTGAAATTACATTTTTTTCACCTTTTCTTTCACTGGTAATGCAATGGTTAACCCAAAGATTTTAATGTTCATGGAAATGTCAAAGTGATAAACTGCAACTTGAAAGTTTTTCAACTATTTTTGTTCACTCAAAGTGGGTGAAATTTTTTTCTTTATACCATTACGTTTATTCGCGATTTGAAAATCTGTTTATGTTTTGTTTAAAGAGAAATGCAGCAAATTTTGATGAAAATGTGCAAAACTGTTATTACAAAGCTTTTCAACTTGCCTTGAAATGATTGATATTGAATTGAAACAAATCATTTTGACTGATCTAAGAATAGCAAAATATCGCAATATATCCATTCAAATCAAATAAACTTAAATCAGTCTTTCCTTTGCTTCTGCCAATCCAATCAATTATCCTTTACAATGGATAAATTTGATACAAATCAACTCCAACTTGACTCTTGAGTGATTCACACAGAATTATATTAGAATGTAATCAACTTTAATCAAAACAATAACCGTGACAAATGAGCCAATATAATGCAATTATTTTAGCTCTCATCTCATCAGTCTTGTCACAATAATAATTCTAATCAAACCAATGATCAACATTGTCTCAGCTCAACTTGACCCCTTGTGAGGAATCGACTCTAAATCCTTTTTCTTTTTACTTGCAGTTTGTAACTCACAACTTTCTTTGATTTTCTCTATTTTTCAGTTTCCTTTTGTCCAGCACACTTTTTCTTGAATTTTTATCTGATTATTTCGTTGACCTTTTCATTAACAGAATTTTCCATTGTTCTTCATCCACACAAAAAGGTTTTGCAAGAATAATTTTCAATCATTTTGAATTATTTTTTATCTCAAATGATGAGCAGAGATGAATTGAGTTAGTTGAGAGAGAGAAAACTTAATCAAGCATAAAAAAGTTGTTTTTTGAAATTGTGAGTTATTCAGTATTCATTGAATATAAGTAGCAATGCAATACCATAATTTGTTTTCAACAACTTTATGTGCATCTCTAAAAATTTCTTGTGGACAGAACAGAGATTCATCTTAATCATCAGCATGGACTGGAATAAAGTTTGATTCTCAGATGTGTCGTGAAAAATGTGATTGTCATATTTGCAGCAACTTTCAATTAAGGATCTTAATTACATCCTCATCAACTTTTTCACTCGAAATTTCCCATTGTCGAGGATAGCAAAGAAAATTGCAAGTGTTGATGTGGGGCATTCAGTGAGGAATAAGCATCTATTGAGTTGACCAAAAAGCAAACTTCATTGATGCTATCTTCGGATTGTGTAAGAATTCCCCTTCTCTGTCCACCTTAAACTCCTCCTGGACCTTGCACAAAACCGCACTGCACTGTTAAACAAAACTTTCGAATCGATAAATTTCATGATTGCAAAAATAGACAAAAACGATCAAGCAAAAAACTTCCATGAAAAAGCATCAAGAATAGCAAAAAGTATAAGGAAAAAAGTTTCACAAGTGACAGTGAGAGTGAAAGACAATGAAACCGAAAGATCTTTTTTGAACGGACTGTGATTGCAATTTTGTACTATTTTTTCAGTCGAACTATACATAAGCACCAGAATTGGCGATAATACACGTTTAGCAAATATATAAAGACAAATGCCAATAATTTGACAAGGTCAACTAAAAAGAAAAAGAACTAAATCTTGATGTGAAATCAGCACAATATAAGAAAAAAATTGAATATGAGAAAAGACTACTTTGAGAAATGATCTATTAAGAGAAAAGAAGAAAATCAAGCATTCAAGGTTTCTTTTGAATATATTAATTCGAAAAAATTCAACCTAAATATTGCAGGATGACCATACACGAACATTGTTCGATGCACCTTCTACATTTGCCGCATATCTTATTACAGATGAGTGGATAGGGTAGTCACTAGAGGCCTCGGAGGCGGTCAATGATTTTCATGCTATCATGGTAAGAATGGAAGCTGAACTTACACAGAACAATGTTAATACAGTAGTTTCTCTTGCTGCACTTTGGGCAGGACCATTAAAAGCATTAAAACATTCATTTGACGTGATACGTTAGACATCCGACCGCTCTGGCCGGGTAGAAGGAACTTGTCTCAGAAAACCTTCACTTCTCTTGTGCATTTGTTTCCTTCAATGTTTGGGACAATTACTGGGAAATATTTGCTTAAATTCTCCTATTAGCAAAGTAAGATATACAGCATTGAAAATGGATGAAATTACGGTAAGTTTATCGTCAAAATCGGTCAAGTTTTATCTTCCTCTCATTGTTTTTGAATCTATTGTACTTTTTTCCAGGATTTGAGCGAGCTAGGTGCTTCTAATGTTATAATTGCATTATTTTGGCACAATCAGTAGTAATAAAAAGCACGACATAGCGCAGTGGTAAACTGCCAAATGACACAATATTGTATAGTATTCAATAAGTTTTATTTAATCTCAAGAATAGATAATATTTGTTATATAATGTCAATATTGTATCTAATATCTATTCTAAAAACAGAAAAGAAAGCCCAATAAGCAAGCTTAACTAAGTTAAACGAAAAAGATAGAGAAAAGAAAGAGAAATAAGTTCGGTAAACTTAGTTAAAAGTTTCCTATGTTAAGCTATGGTTGGGAAAAGAAAGCGAAAAAACGGTAATGTTCTTTTTAATAGTAGTCGAATTTTATGAGAAAAGGTGTTATATGTGGTTAATTATCTCAATTGACAGTACAATCGAAAGGATTAAATTCAATTATTGATTGACAAATTCCGCTTAATTACCGGTTAAGAAGGAATTAGGAATTATTGTTCACCAGAAAAGAAATGGAAATATCTTCGATTGAAACGATCTCAGGAAAATTCACAAATCAACATTCATTTGCTCAAAACAAAGTCAAATCCCAAATTCAGTTAATTCAACACGCATGATTTCTTGCCCGTATGTGGTTGCGCTTCACGAAGCACTGAATCTATAGCTTAAACTTCTGAGACACGATTTCCTAACTTTATTTAGAGATTACCTATTCAATCCAATTCAATGTTTAATGTCCTCATCAACTTGGACTTGTGAATTTGATGTTTATAGTCAATTCATTTTAAACTTAATTTCTAGTCAGAGAGGATGATTCATTTTTTACGTTTTTCACTCTAAAAAATAAGTTTCGATTGACTTCCAGGAACTCCGGATATTAGAGAAGATTCAGTTTCCTTAAAAAAAGTATCTTTCAACTTGAAGCTCAACGTTTTCAACATAAATTCAAAATGTTTGTCCTTTTATTCACATAACCACTTTAAACAACTGGACCCTCTTTTTCACACTCGATTGTGTTCATATGAATAGAAGTAGTCGATAGAAATATTGGGATTGACTTTTGAAAGCCATTTGCGGTTATTGAAAGCTCTAAAGGAATAATTTTTGCATAAGCATTGTTAAGGCAAATTGTATTTGAAATATCCAGTGATCATTAACAATTTACAGATTGTTAACCATGTCCAGTTTATTGGTACAATCGAAGGAGTTTTGAGTAAAAAATAAGTCATACGTATATTTCCGCATACAAATTTCCTTAATTATTTCTTAGTATAAATAACTCCTATACCTCTAGTGAAATTCATTATTGAATTTTGAGTTGACTGCAATCGATTTTTGTTTCTATTTGCAAAGTTTTTACTTGTTGATTGTTCAAAAATAAGAATCTTTCATCCATGTGAAAATACAACAGATGAAAGGGTCTGGATACTCATGTTCTGATCCAGATTCAGATTCATGTTCATGTTCATTCTGATAATTGTGGTTGCATCATTTTCTTCATCACTTTCGTTCATTTCTTCATGATTTGGTCCGGCCTCATCAAAATCGTTATTATGCTCATCTAAATCCATGATGTGATCATCTTCACCGTCGAGCTGAAACATGTCTGACACTTTAGTCAAAGGAAGTCTAGTGGCTTGCGGTTGATCTTCTCTATTCTACGTTTTGTTCTGGCAGTAGCGATCAATACAATAAATCCTAACATGAAAAACAAAAACATCTCTTTTTCCGAATTGAAGATTATTAAACGGATAAAAAGGAATTGAAAAGAATGAAGAAAGCATGCAATTAAAACTCATAAACACGATCAAGCAAACATAATAAAAATAGTTAAACATTAAAAACTGATTTCTCTGATCTCGCGTAAACATGGAAATCCTTAATCTCACGAGTTCAATGATATCCTTGTTATCTCGGGTTCACGGAGATCAACGATAACAATAATCTCGCTAGTTCAGCACGCGCGCGCGTTTTTCCTGAATCACTTTTAACTCACAACTCATTGCTTGTTTCTTTATTTCGATTCAGTGTGTGTGTGTGCTAGAGTTTGTGAGTCAGTAAAACATCAACTCTATGCTTATTCACAAATTTTTAGGTTTCTAAGCCAACACAAACACAAAAAAGTTAACTGAAATATATCTGTACCAATTTTTGAAAATCGGTGATTTGGTACTGAAACCGGAAGTCTCCCTATTTCCGACTTCCTGTGCTTGAAACGTATGTTTTTCTACTACTAACACCTCGTATATGATCTTTATATTCAGCTCCTCTTCGCTCATAAGCATTTAGGTCGGGTTTATTACCTCGGTAATACTTTCGATAAACTTCAACAGCTATGTTGGACATGATTGCAACAATTAACTCTCTTACTCACAATCTTTTTCTTTCATACTTACTTAATTGTTAGAACAATTTAATTTTTTTTAGAATATCACAGTTAGTTACTTTAGTTAGAAATTCGATTAAATTCAGCTTAGCTATTAGTTTAAGTTCTAATTGTTTGTTGAATTATTTTCAAAAGTGCATATATATTTTCCACAAGCGGGTTCCGCTTAGCACTACTCTTATGTACTTCACTTTCTACAAAAATTTAAGTTGTTGATGGAAGAAGATGATAGATTTGATTTTTGAGTCAAAACTTATAAAAAAGATCATAATAAGTCCCCTCTGGACAGCAAGAGTGTCGAAAAAAGACTAACAATTGAAAAAAATTTGATGCCTGTTTCGGGTAGAAAAGATCTGATTGAGGACGATGAATCCTACTTTCCATCATCTGATAAACTAAATAAGTTTTTCTAGAAAGTGATCCCGCTCAGCTCGACACTAGAATTACCCTGAAGCACAGGTGAAAATACGAAAAAAGAATGTGCGTTTGAATCAAAATTGCAAGGGAAGGATGCTCTGAGGCATTTTTTCGTGCCTGCCAATTAGGCAATAAATACTCAAACCTTATTCAGTACAAAATTGATACAATTCGTTAGAAAAAATTACTCCTAAAATCTCTACATATTTTGTGCAATGGTTCATCTAGTCATTACGCTTCTGCAACATAACAATCATCCGACATTAAAATGGAACCGCCCAATTTACCTCAAAAGCTCAGTTGAGAGGTTCTGATCTCATCTCAATGTCAAAGTTTATGAGAATGATTTGGCCAGCGAATCATTTCCCTACTCTGAGTAAGAGAATGGTGCAAAAATCAAAGACTTGGTGTCGACTGTTTCGAGAGACCAGAATTTCAGCAGCTACCTTCAATGGACCTTATCAGTAATTTATGACAAGAATTATAGAAATGTAAGCAAGAATTTCAACAAAAATTGTCTAAATGTATTTTGTCCAAAACATTAGGATTCATAGTCAAGTTGTTGCATCAATTTGTAGCAGCAGTTTACAAGTTAGTAGTTTACAAGCAAACTGGCGAAGAAAAAGGTTGAAAATTTCAAGCCACAAATTATTTGTTGAGAAAAGGTTGAAAGTCAGAAAATCGATATAATTCACATGATTATCTCTATGTAATTGGAAACCTTTCATCAAGTTGAACACTACTGTTTTCAGGGTTTAGTTCTTTGAGCAATGATTGGTATTCAGTGGCAATATTTCACAGCACAAAACTTGGATTTGGTAAGAAAATAATGCATTTGATTTTGAGTGAAACAAAGTTTCATCTTGAAATAAAAGCAAAAAGAGAAATGAAATGAAAAACATTTCATTAACTTGGATAAAGAAATAAAAAGTAAAAAATATTGTCCATGAATTATAGTAATGGTAATGATAATAATCAGCGTAAATGGTGATATTCAATGCAATAATATATCATGTAAATGTGATCTGCAATTCTGTTGAATAAAAGAGAATAGAGGAGAGAGAAAAAAATGCTCAAGAAAAAGGATAAGAATGGAGTGAGGAATATGCATTGACATGATGTGAACTTTTTTTTCTCTGGTTGCTTCATATTTCCATGTTTTGGGATGCTTATCAATTTTGATGGCATGTTTTAAGCTGAAAACCACAGGGATTGTGATAAGCATCAATGTACATGGGACAAGGAAAGAGCATGGAAATGTATAAGAAAAAAAGGGGAGAAAAGTATTATATTAATATTTAACAATATTAATTATCCATTTCAAGTTGAAATGATATTTTGTATTCCAGATAATGGATGATGAATATATAGAGAGGGTAACAAAATGATGAGCAAAAAATGATAATGGAAATGAACAAACAAAAATATTAATAATAATCAAAGGAAGAAGAAGAAGATAAAAAAAGACATTTTTTGTTCATTTATTTACATTAAAGCAACATCGATAACTGATGAGATATCGATGTCGATGTTGAGCTGTTCGTGTCATCAATATGCAATGAAAATATGATTGCAAACGCAAGCAATGAATAAAATTGTCGAGTGAGGAATGTAAAAACATAATCTCGAAATGCCAAAAGTACGGTATTATTTGTAAAAGTTCAGTGAAACAAATATTTTTTGAAATCTTGATCACATATTATTGAATATTCAAAGCTTTTTGGAATGCGGAAAAGGCACGAAAATCTTGCTGGAAAAGTGTTCAAGTTGAAGGAAGAGATAGATCTTTATCAATTTGCATAATATCGAGTGTTATTGCAGCTTTTGTTTGCTAGTCAAATGCATTCTTCATTTGTTGTTTCATTGTGAAAACATTGAATTGAACTGACTTTGTTTTTATCAACTCGAAAATAAAAGTGACAATTACTTACTTGTAAAATGTGAACCTCTGAACCTGTTGTTAAGGCTCGTATGTGAACCTTGTTGTCCTCCAAGGCAAGCATAAGAAAGGTTGAATCCATTGAAATGTCCATGTGAAGTATTGCTTTGGGCAAAAATATTTGATTGAGAACACAAAAAGTATCCAAAGACCAAATGGATACCGAACAGTCTGTCGATCCAGCGGCAAATATATCATCCTCTAGGTTTACCTTGATACAAGTAATCATACCTCGATGATGCTCTAATCTGCCAATGAGAAGGCCACTATCAAGACGAACAACACAAATGGCTCCAATCTCGGAACCAGAAAGAATATATTCCTCATTATGAGTTATCGCTGTACACAAAACACCCGCAACGTGATGACTAAAAAAGAGAGAAAAAAGAAAACATTAGTACATTGGCACGTACGATTTTCAAAATTTTCATCATTCATTGAACTTCTTTATGAGATATTTTCACTTGCCAAAACCTGCATTGTAACAAGCATCATCTAGATATCAATTTTTGATGAAAATTCACGTTTGAAGCAACAGTTTCAATCAATTGTGATTCAATGTGCAATCACTTTGACCCATTCAATTAGCAAAAGCAGGTCACTCTAAAAATATTGTCAAGTGCCCAGCACGAGGAGGGTGAAAAGGTTAAAACTAAATAACGATCATGAAAACACGTGATGTTGAATTGAAACTCCATTACCTGGCAGTAACAACAAAAGAATACTTTTCTGATTAAAAAAAAGTTCAATTTACGATAATTGCTTTTAAAGATGAACAAATTGGCAAGACTAAACTGCAAACTAAATTTGTTGATTGGATCAATGGAAGGTAAAGTAAACATTTGGACGTTAAACAATGCTTACAAGTAAATCATATCATGGTTAATACATGATAAAGTAGCAACAAAAAAGTCCATTAATCTTGTACATAATCAATTAATCATGTTGAAGTTGGTAAAAAGATGAAGATGAAGATGAAAAAAGAAGAAGAGAAAAGAAGAAAAAACAAAGCAAAATCATGGAACAAGTTGAAAGTGTAATTTTACCATTTCACTTTTATTTCCGTAGGAATGATGAATTTGTCAGGAATAAAACCAAAACTATTCAACCTCATTTCTGTAAACTTACTTGTTCTTCATCTTCATCTTTTGCCTGTACTCATGATGAATGTTTTCACTGTTAACTGCAAGTTATCACAAAATTGAGTGTAAACCAAAAGAAAATGTTCAACGTTTCAAGTTGAAGTTTGTTGCATTTTTACATGAAAATGTATAAATCATGGAATTAATAATTGTTCATTTTTAAACACAAACAAACTTTTGATTATAAAAGATTAGTTTCTCTTTTCCTTATTGCCAAAACTGAAAGAGTAAAAACAAGAAAAAAAAGATTTTCTTTTAAAGGCTCAAAGAAACCATTTCAAGTGAATAATCGTGATGCTAAAGGAATTGTAAAGAAGACTGATTTAAATGAGTTGAAAGTAAACAATTGCAAAGCAAACGCAGATGAAAAATGAGAAGAAAGATGAAAGGAAAAAAGTTTTTTTTCTAAAATTTAAAGTTGACACTTTAGTGTTTGTAGTGGGCAAGGATGATGACTTGCAATTGCTTCAATTGATGGGTCATTTTTTGGTGAAAAAAGGGAAAAATTATCTTCTCTTGAACTTTCTTCACTTACCCTAAACTATATCTCGAGTTACATTCAATTTCTCCATCAGCATCAATTTCCCATAAAATCACAGAAGTATCCTCACTCCCAGTAACCAGATAACGACCAGAAGAGGATATATCAAGGCACGTAATGGTTTCTCGGTGACCTGATTAAAGTTGGTGTGAAAAGAAAGATCATCAAATTAAGTTGAATCAGTTTGAATTTAGGTGCTCCTCAACAAGTTGAAATGTCTTAATGAGTCAATATGAAAACCAGAAACTTGAAATCTTCATTTCTGTCGACTCAAATTTCATTTTCATTGAAGATGAAAACTGGGTTTAGTTTTGTTTGAAATGTTCAGATTTTCGATTTTTACTTTGATCGATTATCTTGCTCGATTTTTCGCAAAAATTGATCGATTTGCAATTTTTATAAAACATTGTTAAAAAACATTTTCGACTCGAAAGCACATGATTTAAGAGATCAATTTTTTCTTGGTTGAGATCGATCAATTTTTGAGTCAAAAAAATCGATTAGATTGATCTTGGAATCGAATCGGAAGGTCACTAATGTTGAGTTTGTTAAATGAAACTTGATGGTTGGCATGACTGTGAAATGAAATTTTCTCACCTTGAACTGATTTGAGTAAAGTTTTAGAAGCCAAATTGAAAAAATGAATTGATCGTTTATTGCAAAAGATGAGATTCTGGTGGTCATTGGTTAAAGTTGCACGAGTTATTGCATAAGGACATGATATCACAGAGACTTGCATTGGTAGGGGAAGATGAAGCCATGAATTTATGGGAATCAGCAGGGAACCTGAATACCTGGCACACCAGTTGACCGTATCTCGGACCAAATTTTCAAGATATTTGGACTCGGCGAAGCGATTGATTGGACTTAGAGTTGAACTTGTAAGGCTATTGTTGATATTTTTAGACGCATTTGTTTTAACGTTAATGGCATTGCTGTGACTCTCCTTGTCACCCATTTGATCACAATTATTAGATGAACTGAAAAGTGAATCTTTATTGGGATAATTGAGTTGAAGTTGATTGATGCAAAGTCCACTTGTTGAATCGGCAATGGCTGCGGCAAAGGGTCTTAACCAGAGTAGTATCTCTATTGACAATTGGTCGGTATTTTGAGAGACAATGTTGACCGATTGTTTGGTCATGTGGTAAAGCAGGTCAACCTCCCAGTCAATGATTTTTCCGCGAACCAATTCAAGGACTGATCTGTAATAACTAATGGATGAACTTTGAACAGCAGACATCATGAAGTCGATATTGAGCAGAGCATTGTGTTTCAACTTGTAAATGTCTTCACAGGACAACAAATGAAACCAAAGTTCATCAATTTCACGCAGCATGTCCGAAGAATCATTGCGGTAGATTTTATCTTGAGGATCACGATTGGATAAAACCTGAAAAGAAAAGTAAAAAAGATTGAAATTTTGTACGAGGAAAAAAAATGAGGTCAAAAAAAGGCAAAATACACAAAAAAAAGATGATCTCATTTTTCAGTTTCCTAGTTTCACACAAAGAAAAGTCACCACATTTTGAATAAATTTGATAGTAAAATTGAATTGAGCTTTTCATCATTTTATTGGACAAAATTGAACTCTTTTCCTTTTCTTTTTTGTTAACCTTTTTTTATCGTTTGAAATGGAGATAAAATCTTCCAATAACCCAATTGAGTTCATGGATAAATAAAGAAGCGAGTGAATAGCAACCAAGCAGAGGAAAATAGATAAATGTGTAATATGAAGTCAAATTCAAAATATTTATCACGTTAGTCCAAGTGAATAGCAAACGATGTACTGATAGTTAATGCTCAGAAGACAGCTTCCTCCGAGCCCCAATCCTCACTCCCAGTTATTTCACTCCCAACATTTTGTAAACAGTATTCTCCCAGAATTTCACTCGACACTTTTGCAGTCAATATTCAACTCCCAGTACTTTCACTCCCAGCATCACTCGATATTTTCACCTCCAACTTCCCTCCCAGCATTCCAACTCCCAGAATTTTCTATTTTTACTTGTAAAACTCGAGTTTTCCAAATTTTCCATCTTATTCTAAACTAAGATTATTGATAAGCTTTATTGATAGATATTTATAAACAGAATTGAACGCAAAAGAATGAGATGAAAAGTTCATTCTTATACACTTGTTATTATCCCGAATATCATTTTTTCTTGTTTGCTCCACATTTATGTTTATATTGAAAAGAAAAGGAAAAAAGGTCGGAATTTCTCCAGTTTCAACTTTTTACCATGATAATAACAGATTAGTTTGCATTGGTAATCTTATTCTTATCATTTGTTTTCCTTTCCAACTTTATTCTATCATCATCATCATCATCGTCCTTGTCGTCTTATCCATTTTACAGCTTATAACAATAACAATAATAACAACAATAATGGTAACATAAGTATTGAGCATCTTTTTTCATCCTTATTCAACTCCCCAACAATTTAGTTTCAACATTTTCCCTTCTCGTTTTTTTCTCTTCTCCTGTCTTGTTAAATTTTTTGTCCTCTCACAATACTTGGAAAAGCTCACAAAACTAATCTGATTGTATTGATGATTCTGTAAGCCAAAAATGTTCAAGTCAAACTTAGTCTAAAGCCAACGCTAAATCGAGTTCATTTTACCTGAAAATAGTTTTTTACTTTTTGGTAAAAATTTTTTTAATCTTTGCTTTTTTTCCATCAACAACTCAATTCTTTTGGATTCTGTTCTCGTCTAAGCTGACAATCAGTTGACAGTTTACTTGTTAACAATAGTTTTTACAGCATCAAGTTGCATACCTGAGATGTTTCCAGTTTGAAAGATCTTTTTCTCTTCACCTGCAAAAAGGTTCAAGATTAACTCAACAACTTTATTCAAAGCTTTTTTATGCTTTTCCATTTTAACTCGACAGCAGTGAGAAAAGGTAAAAGTTGATAAAGTTACTGTTGCTTAAAATGCGATTTTGTCAACACATTCATATAACTGATTGTTCAAGTTGGTTCAGTTTGAAACAAAATTGTCTTCAAATTGTCACCAGTCAGTAACAATTTATCTTTGTTAATGGATCTTTGTTGTTACCATTTGCGATCAGAGAAAAGAAATGAACAAGAAAATGGAAAGGGAAGAGAAAAAAATTCAACCTCATTTTTTTCATCTATTATCTTCTTTTTCTTTTCAACTTGCTGTACTTTTACCAAAGGAAAAAAGGTAGTGAATGTAAACAGAATCAAGATGAGCTCCATCAAGGTAACCATCATGATGGTGATGATTATCTTGTGAAGAGGAAAAGGAAATTAAAAGGATGCAATTTAAAGTTATTTTTTGTTCTCATTTTAAACTTGACTTGATTGTCAACCTGCTTCTGATTGACTTTAAAGTTTACTCTCATTGGCTGTGATTCAATTGTTGAACTTGAATTCAGTTTAGAGTTGAACCATCAAGTTGTACATCCTGATTGATAAATACAAACCTAATTGTGAACAAAATGAATAAGTTCATGAAAATGGTTCAACTGACTCAAAAGGATTCATAAGCATCGAAAAATTTGTCAAGCAATTAAACAATAATGACATTTGTTTACAAACTTTCAGCTGGACAATAGAAGCTCAAGTAACTGAAGTAACACACGTTGGTTGATCAAGAGACGGCCGTAGTTGGAGACTCCGTAAATGCTGAAAATCTCTGATGAATCCAGATTATTCCAGTTGTAAAGTTGACCAAAATTTTATGAATATTTCAATGACGAAGAAAAGGACAATTTATCAAAAATGGTCAGCTTTGCGGAATGGCAGATCAAGCTAAATCAATTCATGGAAATGAGAATTGAAAAATTCATTCCTAGCGTGGTTTCATCTCTGGTGATTTTATACTCGTTACCATGCATTTCCAACAGTTTTTCATGATACCTCGAAAATGAAACATTTCGAAAAATCAATTTAGCATAAAATTTTAAATCATTTATGTTCATCACAAAAATTCCTGACCAGTTTACCATATTCTTTGGTCTTTATCATTTGACCAAATGACCTTACTGGACCTTTTTGTTGCTAAGAAATGAGCAATCAAGTGTAATGATATTTTATAATGTTATAAGATTTTCATTTCAAAAGCATTGAAGCTTAAAAGATGAACTTTTGTATTGATAAAACTATTCGTAACGAATATGGAAATCAAATACGCACTGAACTTTGCTTCTCGAAATTCGATATAACCTTAGAACTTTTTTTAACGATTTCACTTTTGCATTTTTCTTCTTCTTCTTACTAATTTAATGTAAATCTTGTTTTTCCTTGGATTTAGGTTTTCCTTTGAAACATAAGCTTGAAAAGGTTAAACAGGTAAAATTAAAAGCGAGTAAACAAAAAGAGTGAGAATTAGAAATGCAAAGCTAAAGCTAAATCTATAATCCAATTACAATAAACAACCCTTTTGGGATTCATAATCAACTTTATCTAAACATGTTTGTTCAACATGAAAGTGAACATGATGCAAAAAGAAGAGAAACAGATTAAACTATAAAAGGTTTCAAAGAGTTGGGTAAAGGCGAAAAAAGCGAAAGATTAAATAATGATTGAAGCTTTTCAATGGTTCAACAATCAAAAAGTGAATGAAATGAAATTGATTAAAGCGACCATTTCTGACCATAAATAAAAAAGCAGATTTACTCTTCATTCATCATTTGATTATTCCTGTTAAACTCGAGTTCAATGATGAAGTTGAAGAGCAGGAAAAATTCATCGACCATTCAAGTTGAATGGACAGTAAAAATGAAATTTCAAGTGCAATTCGAGACTAGACAATTGGAATGAAATTTTCCCCCTTTTTTTATCCTAAAAATGATATGTACCATGAATGGATGAATGATGGAAATGATTTTTCATTCGTTGAACAATTTATTCTCAGATGGACTCTTTTTCCCTGATTGTCAATGATGACAAATTAGTGAATTTGAATGAAAATTGTAAACGAAATTTTTGCATTTCAAATTTTTCTGTTTGATTGTTTCAAATGTCGAGTTTCAATGAGTCGAGTTTGCTGAAAGATTGGATAAAGAGAAAGGAAATTTTGTTCAATGAACAAGCAGAATGAAAGTTAATTATACTTTGAATTGAATTAGCAAATTCATTTGCTACCCTGACAATCATTGAATCTCTTTTTTCTACTCTTTTCTCATTCACCTTGTTCACCTAATTAAATGTTCAATATCAAATGAACTACAGATGACGAGTCTTTTTATTCATTATTTGTGATTGCCAAGCAAATTGAAAGTTTCTCTTCGCTTTTTTTCACCACTCTTTTCTCGCTCTAATCTCTAGGAACTTTTCACTTGTAAAAGGAAACGGAAAGAATGGTTCAATGGTTTAATGAAAATGGTCTTCATTTACATTCAATTTGATTGCTGAATAATGACCTTTGATTACAGTTTAGTTTAACCTGAAATGTATACTTATCAAGTCATGGATGAGACTCAAAGTGAATCAACTGTTTTCGTTTCTCGTTTTCATCCTTTTCCCAATGAAATTGGATTCAATTCCAGTCAAGATTGTTTCGCCTACCATTTTGGCCCACAAAAATGGTGTCAATTGCACCTTTCATTTAAACCATTTTGTCCATTATCATTGTTCACTTGCACCTTGTATTTGATGTACACTTGCAGGTACATTAGTCTGCCATTTGTACAATCACTGATAAGTCTGTAAGTCTCTCCAGGGAAGATAAAGAGAAGAGTTTTTTTTCCTTTTCATCGAATGATTGTTACATCTTAATCAGTTGAAAATAACAATCAAAAGTCTTTTGTATTATGAATACGTAATCAACATTCATTGCATTTACACTTTCAATTGATGCAACACAACTCTGGGAGAGGAATCATGGTGTAATCACTTTTGTTACATAATAGTCAACTGATTAGCCCATTATTTGAAGAAAACAATTACATAATTTTCAATTAATCAAAAATGAAAAGGATCAGATTAATTGGAGTTTCATGAAAATCTTTGAATAAAAAGAAAATCGATCTTACAAAGATCGATTTTCTTATTGTTAGCCGATAACGAACCACCCATCAAAAATTAATTTGTTCACAATTATCGGCCGTTCCGTTTCTTTCTCGCCTTAGTTATCAATTCGCAATTATTTCTGATAGTAACAAACAATCTGTAACAAATGTCAAGCAAAAGGTTTTATTAACTCTCAAAAATGGCTTTTAAATGTCATTTAGAGGTCAAATAAAGAAGTAACCTTCAATGACATTGAACGGTTAAAATTATGATGCTTCACCCTGTAGGGAGCTCATAGATCAAATCAGAGGTCTGGATTATTAACCGTTATTATTATCGGGTTAGCACCTTACACCTCATAAGAGGCTGGTACGCTTTTAAAGTTTTAGATAAAAGGCAGTTTTAGGCAGTC